TATAAATTACAGAACTATTTTACTATTAACTCAAATTAAAATTAAAATTAAAAATTTAATTTTATATATCATCACCAAATTTCATCGGGATTCTCTTTGTATTTCTACAGGAAATGCTACAATGGAGTCTGCGTGAGTCGCAATCGTTGCATCTGTGATCCCGGCTTCACCTACCACGAGCAGTCCACGATGTGTGTGCCCGTCTAAAAGATAGCTAGACAATATCCTATAATCACTTGCTTTATTTAAATGAATAAATGTTACTTTTTTAATGATTTATTAATAATACTACATGATTTTTTTTTACTTTTTTGTAAATACAACAAATACTTGTTTAGCAACCAGAGGCAGGAAAACAATTCAATTCAACGGATTAGTAAAAGGATTGCTATATGTAATAATAACAATATATATAATAACAATATAAATCGCAAAGAGTGGTTAATAACAGAAATGCGTTCAAAGATCTCTGTCACAGTTGATATAGCTGTATTCCTCTTCAACTTCGATGGCCTGTTGGCGCCGGTGCTTGAGGTACACGTGGCTGGCGAAGATTAGGAGTAGCAAAACGATGAAGCTACCCGCTGACCAGGCCAACACCACTGGCCACTTGGCTGTGCCAGCTGCTGCCTCTCTGGAGTTGGACGCCGCCTCGCCTGGATCCTGATCGGCTGGCTGATCAATGCTCCGGGACGTGGTCACTTGACAGACCAGCCGCTGCTGCTCGCGTTCGCCATCCGGGCACAGCAGCTGATCCGTTGCCTGGTCGCAGCTGCACAGAGATAGGTCCAGGCAGGGCTTGTCATATTCATCCTGGCAAATGTTGATGCACTTGATCCCGGCCTCCTCCACTTGAGTCCATTCGTGCCAGCAACTGCAGCTACTGCTGCAATTTGTGGCCGACTCCTGCCGCTGCAGCTCATCCAATTGGCGCTCCGTGGTGCTTGTCCCGGCCAGCCGCAACTGGCAGCCAGCCGAAGCATTCCCTCCGTCCGCCAGCTCATAGCCCTCATTGCAGGCGCACACATCGGGCGCCACACAGCTGCCGTTCGCACAGCCCGTGGAGCAGCTGGGCCGGCACAGGTGGGGCTGCTCCTTCGACGCCGGCTCGTAGCCCAAGTGGCAGATGCAGACCTGGGGCGCCAGGCAGGTGCCCTGCTCGCCGCAGGCTGGCTCACAGACGGGCTCGCAGACGTCCACTGAGTCGGCTGCAAATCGATAGTCAGGCTCGCACTCACAGCGGTCGGGCGCGATACATTTGCCGTGCACACAGCTCGAGCTGCACTGCGGCTCACAGATCTGATTGGGACCCATCAAGTAGCCAGCATTGCAGGCGCACTTGTCGGGCGCAAAGCAATGCCCATTCAGGCACTCCTGGCTGCACTTGGGCCGGCACACCTGCTCGGCCGGGGACATCTCAAAGCCAGGATAACATTCGCATTGGCCCGGCGCCACACACCGGGCATAGTTGGCACAGCCTCCCGGACAATGGGCCTCGCACAGACTGCCATTTTGGCTGAGCTTGTAGCCTGTCTTACATAAGCACAAGTAGGGTGCCACGCAGATGGCATTATCCGGACATTTCGGATTGCAGATCGGCTGACAGCTGCCATCATCAGCCTTGTTATACTCATYCGCACACTGRCATTCTCCCGGAGCACTGCARCTGCTGTGCTCTGGACATCCTGCCTCACAAACAGGCGTACAGCTGCCATCMTCRGCCTTRTKATAYCCWTYCMCACAYTGGCATACTCCTGGCGCACTGCAGCTGCTGTGCTCTGGACATCCTGCCTCACAAACAGGTGTGCAGCTGCCATCCTCGGCCTTATGATACCCATCCCCACATTGGCATACTCCTGGCGCACTGCAGCTGCTGTGCTCTGGACATCCTGCCTCACAAACAGGCGTACAGCTTCCATTTTCAGATCGCGAATACCCCTTATCACACGTACATTTGTCTGGCTCCTCGCAGCTGCTGTGCTCCGGACATCCTCCGGTGCAGAGAGGCAGACACGCGCCAGATCCTCCGTTATTGCTGTAGCCCGAGTCGCAGGCGCATTCACCCGGCGACTGGCAGTGGCTGTTCACGCCACAGCCGCTGCAAAACGGAGTGCAATTGGGCCCGAAATAACCGTTATTACAGCTGCACTTCTCAGGTGCGCTGCAGTGGCTGTTGGCACCGCAGCCTCCGCTGCAAATGGGTTGGCAATTGTAGGTGGATCCTTCATAGCCTTCGCAGCAATAAAATTCAGTTTCCAATCTGTAGTCGGTCTGCATTATAAATTATAATCATGCAAATATTATTCATCATGCGAAAAAATTATTTAAAAAAATACTAATAATAATATTTGTATACAATATATCTATAATTCATATGAATCCTGAAATGAAATTGATGTTCACGTTGAGGATGCCAGTGCCAGCTTCATTAGAAGTTTATTGATAATGAGAATGATGATTATGATGATAATAACAACTATGGTAAGTATATGGTCGAACATAATATCCGGACTTAAACAGAATTGATACTAAGATAGCTTTAAATCTGGGCCTCTCCCAGATGGAATGACTCATTCTTATGAAATTCGGACGGAAATACTGGAAAAATTTGTTTTTTTTTTTTTTAATTTTAATTTTTATGTACATTGCGTAATTATACACAATGTTGCAATTTATGATATAATGTGATTTTCTAATCTCACCTCCGGCACGTATTGCGTTTCAATTCGTGACTTCGTTTTCCACACAAAGAAAACTCTCTTTCTATACGTTATGGTCATAGTTCTTGGCACCATTTTAGTGTATGAGACTCTCTTCAAGCGATTGCACACTTTATTCTGAATCATCATGGTCAGACAACAGCCAACAAGGCTCATCAATAGATATAGCATTAGATATAAACCCCGCATTCTCAAATAATTTTTAGAGAACCTTTCGCTAACACAAACCAAATTCAACTGAGCAGCCACTGAGACTCGAGCTTGGACTCGGACTCAGTCTCGGACATTTCATTTTAAAATACATCCGTTCATATCAAACTGGTATAAATAAAGTGTATATTAGTTATATGTAATGTACTAGGAATGTTAGAAAAAGCAAGTCTTAAACAGATGTAATAAAATTAATGATATATTTGATAAAGATAAATACATTAAATACGATTATGAAAAATAAATATCTATTGGCATACATTTAGTTGATATATTTTATATAGTTGTACATTTATACATATATTTTATAACAATGTTTAGAGTATTTTTAAGTCATTATTCTAATATTTCATAAACAATGACGCAATTATTTTTCTTGTTCACATATCATAACCGCATTTAGAAAATTTTTTTTATTTTATTTTATCTTTATATTATATTTTTGATGTAGTATTTAAA